TAGTTTTCTCAGAGGGATAGGTATAGTATACATATATGTGTGCACACTCTTCTCAGATAATAATTCTTATTTTTCTCCGTTACACAATATTAGCCCTTTCAGCACCATAATTCTGTGCTCTTCAAAATGTAAGACAGTACCTTTGCTTGGATTTTTATGTACATAACATGCCACTAAAGCAGAAATACCTCAGGGCAACTACTATGAGTATGTTAAAAGTATTTGCATTAACATGCTGGAGCAGAGGTTTTTCACTCAAATGCTAGACATGTGCTAAATACACCAGGAACAAAATAATGGTTTAAATTGTGTGTGAGGTGGGATTTTCATACTGGAAGGCAGACCACTAATAACAGCAAGTATTTGGACAGACGTATATGTGTGTTACCTTCATTTACATTCTTGCTTACTGAGGAGTTCTTGACTGATATTTCCTCAGCTTTGTGTGTCTTATGCAGAAAGAATACATGTAATTACGGTCGAATAAAACATCATGAACTCTTGAATTCAGATGCAGCTTTAAACATGCTTACCATTTTCCAGAAGACAATTGTCTTTCTCCCTGCTGCCGGGCAAGTTCAGTACAAGTATTAGGCTTAATATGTAAAAAGTAGCTTGGCTCCTCTCCAGCCAAGGGTAATTCAAGGTCTGGCATGCACTTGGACTTAGATTTTGACATTAAAGAATTTTTAGAAGACTTGAATTTCATCTCCAGGCAACCGAAAAATAATCCTGCCAAATGAAATACTGCCATTCTAGGCAGTGTCCTGCCAACAAGCTATTTTGTAACTCCGCTTTCCTAGAAGATATGGCAGTTGAGTGAAAATAATCTGGAAGTGTTATGTAGTTGCAGTACATCGCAGGTCAGTGGTTCAAAGGAAGGAAGACCTGAAATAGAATATTCAAACAATTTCTTAACTGGTATTCTTGCAAAGAATAGTTATTCTTTGTGTTGGCTTATGGGTAAATCACAGAGTGGTTGAGGTTGGGAGGGACCTCTAGAGATCATCTAGTCCAAGCCCCCTGCTCCAGCAGGGACACCTGGAGCATGTGACACAGGGTGGCATCCAGGCGGGTTTGGAAGATCTCCAGAGAAGGAGACTCCATGACCTCTCTGGGCAGCCTGTTCCATGGTTCTGTCACCCTCACAGCGAAGAAGCTGCCCATGTTTCAGTTTGTGCCCATTGCCTCTTGTCCTATCATTGGCCACCACTGAAAAGTCTGGCCCCATCCTTGTGACAGCCTCCATTAAGATACTAAGATTCTCCCCCCTCAGTCTTCTCTTCTCCAGGCCAAACAGGCCCAGCTCTCTGAGCCTCTACTCATTGGAGAGATGTTCCAATCTCCTCACTACCTTTATAGCCATATGCTGGACTCTCTCCAGTAGCTGCACCTCCCTCCCGACCTTTGTAGCTCAGCACTGCACACAGTACTGCAGTTGTGGCCTCACCAGAACTGAGTGGGGGGGCAGGATCACCTGCTGGCAGTGCTCTTCCTAATCCACCCCAGAAGCCCACTGGCCTTCTTGCCCACAAGAGCACATTGGTGGCTTGTTTTTCACCAGGACCCCATGGTCCTTCTCCTTCTCTAGAGAGCTGCTTTCCAACCTGCACGTTTCCAAAATGTACTTTTTTTTTTTTTTTTTCCCCTCTCTCCTCCCTAGGTTCAGAACCCTGCACTTGCCTTTGAACCTCATGAGGTTCCTCACTTTCCAACTCTCCAGCCTGGGCAGTCTGCTGTACTCAAAGTTAGAATCATAGAATGCTTAAGTTCTTTTTGTATAGACTCTTTAAAATGCTTCAAAGTTAAATGCATTCTAGGCTTATTCTGTGTGTGTGTGTGTGTGTGTGTGTAGATTTACAGCTTTCATTTTGCAATCTTTCTGGCAAAGCCGTTCCTTCTCCTGGTGAGGCATCCGCAGCATTTTTGCAAGCTCTGGGCAAGCACGTGCTGACCAGCAGGATCTGCTGAGCAAAGATGGCGCTCGCTCGCTCCCCTCTGTGGAGAGAAGTGTCGCAAGGCCGCCGAGGCAGCCCCTTACCCTCACCAGCGTCTCTGTGCGCACCAGGCGGAGGGGGAGGTGAGTGAAAATGAGAGAAAATGCTTTGTTTTGGGGTGAAAATGCCCACTGGATACGCCAGGTACAAAGTGATTGCCTTAAAATGGCAGGGTGGGCTTTCTCTGGCAGACTCTTAGCAAGGCTTCTTGTCAGCCCTCCTCATCTGTGATGTGACTTGAACTGTATTTTCCTGCTTTGCTAGGCAGACTAGTTAAAGTTGGGAAGAAAAGTGAACTATGAAGGAGTTCAGCAAAACGAAGAATTAAAAATGTTGGGTGAAACCCCATATATTTGGTTCTCAGACTCTTGAAATTCTTACTGGCGTATTGATGCTTACAGCTTGGCTGCAGTTCTCGGTCTTTATGGTGGCTAGAAAGCATGCGGGAAGTCTGTGAATGAAGACCTGAAGTTAAATGTAAAAATGTGTGAACTCTGAATGTGCCGCTGTCTTTCTAGCTGTAGGCTAAATCTTTTGAAGTGCTTAAATTAAATTCTTTAAGGATGCCCATTCAGACAGCCTCTCTGTTGGCAAGATACTCTGTGGGTTGTTTGGAATTGTTGGCAGCTATGTGAAGTTTTCTTTCTCCTTTTTCATTAAAATTAATGACAGATCTTCTGTGTGTTAAGACAGCTTTGAAGGATTACTCACTGTTTCCAGGGGCAAGAGCTGTAGTTGTTTCTAGAGCTGGATGTGTAAGTGGAAGCTGTTCACTGGTGCATTCAAATGATGAAATATTTTGACTTCCTTGTTTTTACCTCCCTGCCTAAGTGTTTCTTTATGCTTTTGGCATATTTTGTTTAATGTAACTTTTAAACTGTGTAATGTAGTTTATAGAGAAGCACAGTGTTCATACTACTGATTTGTTGTAGTTACGTTTGGAGAGGGATTTTTTTTAAGGTGGTGAGCAATCTCAGTAACGTGACACGTCTGTGCCACCCTGGACAAATGTCCACGGGTAGAGTCAGTGAGAATCGTAGCTCCTTGGCCTTTCCTTCTGCTGCCTGCCAACGAAGGTAGCGCTGTGAGGGAGGGCAGGGTGCTGGGGGCTTGGAGGACAGCAGGTTTCACATCTAGTCACGTAGTATCTGCCCCCACAACTTGAAGAGCTGTGTGCTTAATGTACCTTGGGGAGCTTAGACTGGGGTCAAGTGAGGATGAGCTGGCTAAAGCTTTGCTAGAAGGGGAGGAGTCGTATGGGGTAGCTGGAGCGTGTGGAAGAGATACCTCTTCATTGCTAGGGATCACAAGTCAAGTGTTACTTCAGAGTGACTGGTACTAGAGAATAACTGAATTGGCACTTGAATGTGCACGGGCTTTTCTGTCTAGTTACTTCACATTGGTTCTTGTGGCATAATATGCACAAACCATGAAATAAACAACACAAAGAAATGCAGTCTTTCACAGAAACTGGAATAACATCATTACTTTTCATTAGGGGATTAAGACTTGATTAAAAAGAGAAAACCTTCAAAACGTGTAATTGTTCAGTGAGTCCCTCAAGTATTTCTATCTAATCAAATTCCGTAGTGTTACAAACATTCCTGGGTAATTCTGTTTCAAAGTGAATTGCAAATCCCGCTGGATGACTGTATCCATTGTCACCATAGCTAGCAGGAACCCGTCTTCCACCACTAGATTGATCACAGCATTAGCAGACTGCACTCTGTGAGTTTCCTGTGTTTTGGAAAACTGTGCACATCTGACCTGTGTACGAGAAGAGTTGCTGTGAGTTACTGCACTGTAACTCCTGGCAAAGTCTTGTTTTGGATTTTATAACTACAACTTGCTGCTTGTGTTGGGTGAGTTGTGGAAGCCCCAGAGGCAGGAGGCAACGCTTGGAGAGCCTCTGGCCAAAGGATTTGTGTGTCACAGTTGGTTCAACTTGGAGTTTGCAAAACTCTGTGTGGCATTTCCATGCACAATTTCTGCTTTTAGTTGATGTGCAAAGCGGTGTACTTTGAAGATGATTTGTCATTCAGAGGACAGCAAAAACAGCAGGACCTGCTAAGTAGGTTTCAGGGTTATAAGTTTATGTTAGCATGTATTGAGGTTTCATAAGGCCCAGCCAGCTATTAAGTTGGTATTTTCAATTTGCTCTAGAAGTCTTTCAGGCTTCTGATAGCAAGCATGCCCACTAACACTAGAAAGTTGGAAATGAGTGTTTTTCGTGGTGGCTGTTTTCAGGTAGTATCTGTTAGGGGGACAATTTTCTCCAGTGCTGTAACGTGCTATTGGCATCGCTTGCATGAACTGCTGCACTGCAGTCTCTGCTGTGTGGCCCAAAGGGAGGGTGAGGAAGGACATGTGACAAAGCAGAGGCTTTGGGGATGAGGTGAGATCGGGCTAGGGAAAGTGAAGGGAGAAAAGCCATGGCAGTAAAGCTGAATCAGGAATGGGAGGAAACCTCTGTGCTGGATCTAAAGCCAGAGAGCTTAGACAGCAGGACCAGCACCGTTCCTTAGAGCCATTGGCTTCCTGGGCATAAATGATGATCTGTCGTATAAGTCTTAAATAGCTTCTACAAGTGACTGATATAATGTCTGGATGGCTGTCTTGATATGATGTCTTGTTTGTAGAATTTTTTGCAGCTACTTTAACTCCAGATATATCAGAGGCTTGTAATTAATAGTCTGCATGTTCTGCGTGTGTGTGTGTGTGTGTCTGAAAAAGAAAGTAACATAGAAGCCAAGAAATTCAGGAGTTTTTCTGTGAAAAATCCTCAGTCAGAAAATGGGAGGAAACATTGTGAAGGCTCTTTTCAGTGAATTTCAGTGAATTTTCGGTGAATTGTTTATTCAAGGAGAAATAAGCATTGGCAGTATGCTACCCTGTTATCCTCTCCTGTGTTTACTGTTAGGTAAACTGCTTTTAAGTAAAGATGGAAGTTCAGCCTGACCTCTAGCATCCCTTTGTACTTAATATTTGAGACTGTATGTGTGTGTATGAACAAAATACTATCTGTTAATTGCTTATTTTGCTTTTATTATTTACAAAAGGTGGAATATATGTTAGTGAAATTTGACCACGAGAATAAGAAGGTTCGCTTGGCGCTATGTGGCGAAGAAGTTCTTCAAACACTGCAAGACAAGGGGGAAAAGGTAAACCCCAAGTAAGTAGCTGTTTCCTGTTTTGTTTTTTTTTTCTTCTGTTATGACAATACATATTTTTGTAGAACTGACTTTGCTTTCAGGTCTTTCAGTACTGCTCTCAGTCAAGTTGTAAGGCACTAGTAACAACATTTTCAGATAAAACTAGGGCACAGGGAAGCGAAAGATTACAAACACAGCAGATGGGCCACATACTGTTGCACCTTGGGAAAAAAAAATAAGGATATAATGGTGAATTCTTTCTTCCCTTGGAGAAAATGAGGGTTTAAAATGAAAACCAAAATTAGAGAGGTAGTTTCTGCTGCACTTTCTGTTCCTGCTACTGTCTTGTGGAGAACAGACGAGAAGGGCAAACAGGCTGCCTTAGTTGTCAGCAGGGACAACTCAGTGCAGAAGGAAGTCCCTCTGCACATATTCTTTATGCCTGATACTGGGCATCTCAGGAAAAATAGTTTGAGGAAATAATTAGATCATATCACTAGTTAAAATACCCAGAGAACAGTGAATTGCCTTTTAATTGGTGGCAGCAGATCTGTTTTTCCAGGGCAGAGAAATGAGACCAGAGATAGTGGAATGTTTTGGTGCTGAGAAGAGCCAAAAGCAGGTTACAGATTACAAGAAGTCAGAGAAGCATTTCCATAGCAATGATGGGCTTTGTGCCTGGGCCTGTCATCTCCTCTCCACATAGCCTAGCCCTTTGCTGTCCTGTAAGGCTTTCTTACCTTTCTCGCTGCATGTCAGGAAGGGAGAATATTGAAAGCATGAAAGAAAGCATTTCTTTGCTTCTAAACTTTGTGCTTGAAATTACTACCAGCAGGTCTAGTGCTGCAAAATAATCAGCTTTGTTAACAGATGCTATTTTTTATAAGTTGCATTCTTTTGCTGAAATTCATGCTAATAATTCATCTCTTTTTGAAGCTGTGTAAGTATTTAAACTATGCTGTTCTTTTATTTAAGTCACCCAACCCTCTGGCGACCAGAGTATGGAAGCTATATGATTGAAGGGACGCCTGGGCAGCCGTACGGGGGCACCATGTCTGAATTTAATACCGTGCAAGACAACATGAGGAAAAGAAGGCAAGAGGCCGCTTCTGTGCTTAAGGAAAACGAGGCCCTGTGCACTGTGACGTCCTTTCCAAGGTTAGGTTGCTGCTTGCTTGAGAAATGTGAGGCTCTGTAGTGGTGAACATTTACACTGCTCTCCTTATTACAGTATAGTTGCACTGTAAAATGACACTGAGCAGAGCGTGATTCAATTAAAGTTAACTTGAAGCTCTCTTTTCCTTTAAAAAAAAAATGTCTTCATGAGACAGAAACTAATCAGCATCTTTCACTTTCGTAGGTTACCTTTAGTGTATATGGTTTTGTATTAGAAGTCTTGAAAATAAATTATTGTAAGCTAGCCACACATAGAACTAGCATAATATTGAATTGACATGGCAAGTCATATACAAAAAGCCTTCCTTTATCTATTTTCTAGGTTTTCATCTTTATAAATAGCAGCTTTGTGAAATGTAATTGACCTGATCTAATTTTTAGCACTAGTTAATCACTAAAGTACAGGCATATAGCTGGTAGCTCCGAGCATGCAGCTGAAGGAGTTTGTTTATCTTTACAAAATGAAAACCTACCACTTCTATAATCCTGTGTTTATTTGGTCTAGAAAGGAGCACCTTTTCCAAGGTCATAGCATCCTGACAAAAGATCGTTTCCCCTTGTCGTTGTTGTAAAAGGGCCTTTTGAGAAATGATGAGATGAGCATGTACTTCATCGCCTGGGTGAAACCATACCCTGTGACCTTTCTTCCAAACGTAATTCTAAGTAGGAATTTAGTATGTTGATTGTTTATAACTTGACCAGTGAAATGAATGAGGATAATTACGCTTAAAATAGTAAGAAATTGTTCTGTGGTGGAGACAGAAGCTGTTTCAGTTCAGCTGGTTTCACTGTCTGGTTTCTGGTACAGAACAGAAGGCAGTGACTCTAAATGCTTGCTCAGAGCATACATGGTACAAAATGTGACTTAGCAGCAAAGTTCATGCTCTTGAACCAAAATGCCTTAGTTTTGCGCTATGAATGCTCCTTTAAGAACACAGACAAAATATATTCCTTCTTAATGCGAGTTGCTGTCCTAATATGAACTTGTATAAAGCAATGTAATAAGAAGCTGTAAATAAATAACAGAACTGTGGGCTGGTTTTGTTTTGTTTTTGCCCTGCAAGCTTAGAAAACTGTTACACAGGCTAATAAGTTTTGTATATAATGATTTCAGATGTGCAGGCATGTACTTAATGAAATTATTTATCATATTAGAAATGCATGGGACTTGATTTAGTGAAAGTTGGTAAGTAATAAAATGTACAAGCTGTTTTTATGACTTAAGAATCATCCCAAGTATGGCTTCCTCCTCCCTAGGCAGGTATAAGAAATTAAATAGCATTTTGCCATTGATCCTCACTTAAAAGTTCCTGTTTGTTTGACTGAAACCTCACTAAATTACTTTTCTGATTTGCTTTTTTATTGTTAAATTGTCTCTATAGTTACCTATATATTATAAGCTTGTCCATTTAAAAGGACAAATTAAAACTTGATAGAATGCTGACAAAGAGGAAAGATTGAGTGGCCTTATTCAAATTAACATAACTAAATAGAGTTTAAAATAAATAAACCCCCCCAGATTCCTGAATATTAAAAATACAGTGGTGGTTGAGCACTGACGTGCCTGTTTTTTCAGTAGCAGAAGTGCTGAATGGTTGGGATTTTCCAGAGATGTCAGAGAAAGTCCCTGTCCGACTCACAAGTTGAATGAGTGCATCCAGTTCTCAAGTTTGTGAACCCTTACTGCAGAACATGCAAACGATGTTTTCCTAAAATCTGCACTACAGAACTTTAAATAGTTAAAATAGCTTCTTTATGGCTTATTCTATAAGCAATAAAACTAGTTAGGATAACTAACTAATAACTAAAAGGACAACTTTATTTAAACCAGGAAGAAGAGATTGAAAGTGAAACTTATGTTTACCATAAGTAGTATTTTCAGAAATGCAAGCATGTTTCCTGCCATCTCAGACTTGTTTGTGTCTATTATCACCTAACCTGTTTTGGGTTTTGTTGTTGTTGTTAATCCAAATACTGTGGCCTCTCTAGTGCTATATACTATGAATATAGCATATACTAGTCCTATATACTATGTAGCATAGAGAAGTTTGTCTTCTGCAGCTTTGCTTCCCTTTTCTCTGATGTTCTTGTGTTTCAAGTGGACTGCAAGTCTACTTGCTCTCATTTCCGGCGGCTCTTGAGCTTTTAGCAGAGGTTTCAAAGGGAACTGGGTTACTCCCAAATCTCTCTGTATTTGGGGCCTAATAGTTGTAACTTCTATAAGCAGGGCAAACCTGACAGGCAAGGGAGAGTTTTTTCAAATCGCCAAGTGTGGTGACACTTGCAATGTGTTTAACACTTGAAGTGACTTTGTGAAGCAGATAGGATAGGTCTTTTTAACAGAAGTAGATTGCTGGGAGTGGAACTGGGGAATTGCTTCATGAATCGGTGGTAACCAGTACTGTCTAGAGAAACAGATGAGGGCACAAAATGATGCTGCATGTCAGTATTACTGATGGGTGCTAACACACTAATATGTGTGTGCATCCTGTGCGCAATGTTCAAGTTCCCTGCTTCAGGCACTTAAAAGATCCAAATTTAGCATCTAATGGTGGACGGATGTTTTAAATATATATATATGTTATATCTATCTATGTGTTATATCTATCTATCTATACATATGTATCTGTTCTAATGACCATTAGCAAGTAATGATGGTTTAATGGCAGCTGTCTGAAGACTGCTTGCTGGTAATTCTAGATGGTAAGAGTGTTGAAAAGCACCTCAGAGATAATTAATAAGTACAAAAAAAAAAAGAAATGTTTGTACTTTTAATTAAAAAAAAAAACCTTTTTATTCCTTTACCTACTAGAATCCTGATTGGAGATCATCTAGCTTTAAAATCACAGTCTGTGGCTTTGTGACTTGGACTCACATTATTGTATGATACAGGTTAGGGTGTCCTGGATTTACCCTGCCGGAGTATGAGCCAACACCAGTAGAAGAAGGAGCTTCAAAATCCCTGTTTTTTCCAGATGAAGCCATCAATAAACATCCTAGATTTAGGTAAGAGTATTTGGGGAGCGGGAAGGAGAAACTGGATACTTCTGTTTGTATAAACTTAACATATATACCTACCACTTTTTTACATTATTGAAATATTTGCGTGGCTAGTTAGCTGTTCATATCCCAAGGACATGAGGAGGTCTGTGATGAGATGCATTGTCTGTCAAAGTGACTTAAAGTAAACTCTTTAAGTAACTCTACAGAGAAGATCGTGCTGTTATGGGGCTAGTGCTATTAGTTTTGCTACTGCTAAATTGCTTTCTATGTGAAATCCCATTTTTACTACAGCCAGACCACCTTTCTTGGAGATGTCAGGACACATTTTATTCTGGAAATATCACAGTGATATTAAGCTTATTCTACTTACCCTGAAATGTGACATAGTATCAAACTACACATGTAATTCTGGAAGGTTTTTGATTTTAAAATAAGACTTAGGAGAGACAAAATCTTCCAATTTTGAAAACCAGGCATGCCTTTTCTATTGCACCTTTCTTCTTCAGGACTATGACCTTTTAATTCGGCCTGTTGTATCAGCTTAGCACAGTGAAGACCCTCAAAGTAGGACTGACTTTGCTGAAGAAAAATTCCATGTTGTTATAGTCTATTGTAAGCTAAGGAAAGAAAAGCCCTGAGGGAAAATGCTGAAGACTAATCAGACAAGTTGACATCCTGAAAATTACTGAGAAACTAAATGTGAAAATATGTTTCAGCAAACTCTCTTTGTTTTAGTACACTGACCAGAAATATTCGGCACCGAAGAGGAGAGAAGGTTGTGATAAATGTACCAAGTGAGTGAATTTCTTTTATTTTTTGCAATGTTCAATCTGATACCCTGGCTTACCGAGTTCTTGTTTTTTCCACACAGTCTTTAAAGATAAGAACACACCATCACCATTTATAGAAACATTTCCAAATGATGATGGAGAAGCAGCGAAAGCAGCTAAACCCGACCATATATATATGGATGCTATGGGTTTTGGAATGGGAAACTGCTGTCTTCAGGTAAAATGCATCTGCTTTTAATGTGTAATGGAGTGTTATCTGACTTAAACTGCCCTTTTATTAGACTTGCCTTTTTTATAAGCTCTTTAGCTTAATTTAGTTCATGAATTTTCAGAGTAGAGAAAAGATGCATAAAACCACAAACTTTTATCTTCCATATGATAATATATTCTTAAAATACAAGCTTGTTTGTTGGCATTATTTTATTTTATGGTAACTTTTAAGTACTTCATGTCTTGCCCAAAGAGTTTCCTTGGTCACCGAACTGGTGAAATTATTTGCTCAGGCACCTTCCCCTGGCTCTCCAGCTCTTTCCAGGAGTGGAAGCTCAGGAGAGAGGATCACTTTTGTCTTGCTTCAGTCTGTAGCTAGGGCCACTGTTGAAGTGGAAGCTGAACTGTCTTGTGCTGCTTTTGTGTGGGGAGATGGATCTGGTTTTGTTGTTGTTTGTTTTTAACTTTCCCTTGCAAAAGCAAGCGATAACAAATCATCTTAAATTGGAACTTCATAAATTGTATGTTGCCTTTAAAAATAAGTAGCTTTCTCCTTCAGTGTAATGTTATATTCCTTATGAACAACGGTTATCTCCTGTATAAAATTCCTTATATTTTGATATTGCTAGCTCTCTGCTATGCAGCGTGCTTCCTGTTGCTTGCCCCCTGAAGCTGTCTCCTGTCAGCATGTGCTGGGAGGCATTTTTTGCTTGTTTTGTACCTTTTAATGTACACGTCCTCCTCATACAGTTCTCATTTCTTTGCCTGAGTTACTAATATCTTGCAGTGCCCTAATTTTAACTTAAAGCTTTGTGATTTGGGAGTGCTTTAATCCTTTCAAAATCAGTTTGTTTTAAATGTTATAGCAACCTGTTAGAGCAAACTTACTCTGGGGGCTGATGGCTTAAGAATCGGCACTGTATTTTGAGTGTTGATAACATCTGCTTGTTGCCACTGCTGGCTTGGAAGCACAACTAGGAAGGAGGATAGTGTGTTAACTCCCTAGGGGATTAAAGGCACTTCTCCAAGCTCTTCTTGTTTCACAACATTGATAAAAATAATCCCCATTGAAAACACTTGACATTAAGAAGCTAAAAAAGCTGAATGAACAAAATGTTCTTGAGAGCAGCAAAGGGCAATTTCTTCTCACTAAGTGTAAACTAGGGAGAATCTGATGAAGTTATAAAATACTGCATGTTTTTAGATGGTATTCATTTTGATATGCTATTTCTTATTTTAAAGAATTTCAGCCTTATCTTTAAGTCTTCATATGAATGTATCTAAAATTATGGTTAAGTTCCTGTTTATGAAACAGTAAGTATTCACATCCTCATAATCAGTGGTCAAATTCAGCAGTCATCTTATTGCCAAAGGGAGAAGGAAAATAGAGCTGGTAGGTGCTGTGAGAGCCTGCTCTTGGCAAATGTCTGGGCCATCATGCTGCTGCCCTTTCCATGCTGAGCCTCATGCTTTCTCCGTGGGCTGCTTCCCGCACCCTCGAGGGGCTCACAGCCCTCTTTTGAGGAAGACTGCTAAATGTTTTAACTAATGGGCTGTTTGGCTTAGAAGGTGACTGACTCAAATCCTGGGGTTAATATGATTTGGAATAAACATAAAGGGGAAGGGGAGGAGCACTTAGCCTTGTTGGGAGGATGTGCAGCCCCAGCCTGAGACTGTCTCCGTAGTTCTGGAAAGCCCAAATGAAGCTTCTCTGCAAGCAAATTATAGTTCCTTTATGAGGAAAGACTAAGCAAGCTGGGCCTGTTTAGCCTGGAGAAGAGAAGACTGAAAGGGAATCTGATCAATATGTATAAACCTAAGGGGTGAATGTAGGGAGGATGGGGCCAAACTCTTCTCAGTGGTGGCCAGTGACAGGACAAGGGGTAATGGGTACAAGTTAAAACACAGGAAATTCCATCTCCCCGTGAAGAACAACTTCTTTCCTGTGAGGGTGACAGAGCCCTGGAACAGGCTGCCCAGAGAGGTTGTGGAGTCTCCTTCTCTGGAGATCTTCAAAACCAGCCTGGATGCCACCCTGTGCCACGTGCTCTAGGTGTCCCTGTTGGAGCAGGGGGGTTGGACTAGATCATCTCTAGAGGCCCCTGCCAACCCTAGCGGTTCTGTGATGCTGTAGTTTCAAAGTGGATGTTTTCTGATAGCCAGGTGAAGGGCAGACAGACAAGAAATATTTCCCTTGCCTCACACACTTTTTGCAGTTTTTGTTGTTTTCTCTTGAGGATTATTGGCTAGTTTTCTTAGTGTTAGGTGTGTGTGTGTTCAGCTGGATTTTTCACAAATCAAAAAGCACAGAGCTTTTAGAGCTTAGGCCTGTTGCATGATAGTGGCCTAGAGGTCCCTTCCAACTTGAATTATCCTATGATCTATGAATATGTAAACTGAGAAACCAAAGTTGAGGTGTCTTAATCTGTTTAGTTGCTTTTAACAACTTTGAAGTGTTTGAGTTCCCTGTATTTTTAAAATGAGTGAAATGGTAATTTGGGAAGTCTGATACCACAGATGTATTTCTGGTTAGATACTGCTCTGAGCAAGTTTCGCTTAGGATTTTCACACCAGCAGTGGTGAATCTGCAAGTGCTTCATCTCCACCTTTGCCTAACACAGGCAAAATTGGATTTTCGTTTATTTTATGAAGTTAGGGTAGAGACAAAGCTATTTATTTTTTCTCAAGATTGCAGGATCAGGAAAAGACATCTTGAAATTATGGCAGTTTTACAAAGCAGGATTAACTGTCATGTAAAACAAACATTACATATGCAATACTTTGACGGTTGTTTTAAGGGATTTAGTTCCTGGCAAGCTTCCTGAGCTTGCGTTACTAACCCATGGATGTGATGTAGATATTAACTTTCTTTTCTTTAGTTCTGGTAAATGTTTGTATATTTAGCCTCACAGCACTGTCATCTCAAATGTTTTAATAAACATAGAAATGATAGGGAGAGAAGCTTATGATGTAAATGCTGCTGATAGATGGGGCAAAAGTTTGCTCAAGAATCACAAAAAGATATTCAGAATTCTTGGTATTAAGATCTTTTTACAATATCGTTAATCCTAGTAGAAGCTGAAATTCCAGGAAGGTTAAGCTTATGCTGAGATTATGAAGATTTTAATTGCAATTGTACTTCTTCTAATAGGTAACATTCCAGGCTTGCAGCATTTCTGAAGCAAGATACCTCTATGATCAGCTAGCCACAATCTGTCCAATTGTGGTGAGTGATGCACTTTTGTTCCATGGGCTATTAATGTGCAAAAACATTAGAGGTAAAAGGATAGGATCTGTATGAGTGAAGACCTAGGCGCTAAAGACAAATTTAGTATTTCAGAAAAAGTGTGAGTGTGTCTTAGAGCATTGTCACCTGTCACTGAGTCTTTCTATCCCAGAGAAGTTTCATTCGTCTGAACAGTCACCAGGTGATCATTTATGTGCATGCAGTCTTCAAAAAAGTATACGATATCACAACTGTAAAGGTGCTGGTTTCTTGTCCTCTGTTTCCTGCTTCCCACACAAAGAAGGGGCCTTTAATTAAAAATAAATAAATAAATAAAGGGTTCCTCCTAAGGATTTTTATATTTTCAACACCAATCTGACGTTCTGGAAAATTTCAGCTTAAATAGCTTACATCTATCCCTTTGATAAGCATCTAGGAACAGGTATTACAGAATAAAGTAGTGTGCACCCCATGGGCTCGAGCTTTGAGTGAGATGTGTTCCAGCCTTACTGATAAGGGGCATGGCCAGTAGACTAAACCAAATTAAACGATGGTGAAATTATTAACTTTTTGGAGTTTGGAGATGTGCAAGTAGAATACTTGTTGCTTCAACACGAAATTACTTCTCTGTGCTTCAACTCTCCATTCCTGAACGGCTGACCCATCGGCACAATAAACTTGGAGAGCGACAAATGCCACTTAAGCAACGCTATCCTTCTAGGTAACTCGTTTGCAGCAATGGCTTTTTGAAAGACTGCGGGCTTTGGCTCTAGGCTAAACTGAAGTATATGTCCCTTTCCTGCGAGAGCAGGAGGCTACTTGTGGCTCCTTGGTTTGTCCTTGGCTTGATGTCAGGCTCTGTTTCGTTTCAGATGGCCCTGAGCGCCGCGTCTCCCTTCTACAGAGGCTACGTGTCCGATATTGATTGTCGTTGGGGAGTCATCTCTGCATCTGTGGATGATCGAACGCGAGAAGAGAGGGGTCTAGAGGTAAGTAAGGTTAACTTTCTTCAGTGTTATATTCTGCATCTAGGCATCAGAATCCCTGGTGAGGGAATGTGCATCCTTCGTGGTAAATACCACATAGGAGACAAGGTGTAAACATTCCCTTGGCTGTACAGCTTATGGTAGCAAATCCTATTTTAGTTAGGTCCACTTGGACTCTTCACAGCTTGCTGAAAAAGTGTATCTGTGATGAAACTTTCCATTTTTGAAAATAAAAATTTTCCAACCAAAAGTTGCTTTGTATAAAGTGGCAGGTGATGCTGAGTAAAGGTCTAGTAACTGCATGAAAGGAGCCAGTCATCAGAGCTTGGACTTAAAAAAAAAAAAAAAAAATTCTTTAAGCAGGAATTGACATCCAAGACATCTGCATTTTTAAAAATAATTTTATTTAATAAAGCTACTTGAAGTCATTCTTGAAATGCCCAGTTTAAGAGCATCTAATGAGGTCTGTGTGATGAAAATGTATTGATATGTGTTGCTGTAGGTATAATAACATTTTCCAGATACTTAGGCTTATTTTGAAATGTTGTGTTAAGTCAGGAAAACATTTCCATTTTTAGAGAAGTGTAACCAATGTGTTTTGAAGTGTGGACAGTTTTGTCATTCAGATATAAATCTATGAGCAAAATAGGATGATTTCAGGATGACTTTCTCTCAAGCTAATTTAAGACTTATTCTATTAGGCTGTCTTGCACATGCACATGTCTGTATATCTGGATTTTCCCTTAATTTTGAAGACTCAGTATCTTGAAAAACTTTGAAGCTGTAGTCTTCTTTTTTTTAAACAGGGTAATAATTCTCAGATAAGTGTGATTAGTGAGCAAAAGTTGGGTGACGTTGTTAACAAGCTGTTAAAATATTGTATTCTTAAATTATATAGCCACTGAAGAACAACCATTATAGAATCAGTAAATCCAGATATGATTCCATAGACAGTTATCTATCTGAATGTGGTGAGAAATACAATGACATTGATTTGACAATAGACAAAGATATCTACGAGCACCTGATAAAGGAAGGTAAGTGTCTCATTCTGAGCAGGTCTAGAATACTGCTTGCAGTGTGTGGGGATATTTTGGTTTAAGTTCTAGTTTGTGTTCATTTCAGTCCTTGTGTATCCTTGAGAGTTGACTCCTGCTTAGGAAGCATCTATATAGCTTGATCCTGAGAGCAAAGATCGTGATTTATAATGGAAATTGTGCCCCTACTTCCAACTCGAGAAGCTCAGTGTTTGATGCACTAATGTCTTATCTTTGAGGAGAGAGCAGAGCTGTCTTAGGAACCAAGATACGCAGCTGCATCAGCAAGCAGGAAGGATGGCAGCTACACCAGTGTCCATCTGCCATTTCCAAACAAGAAGGCTTTCCCTTTCCTCCTTAATCATTTCCTTCCCTCCCCAACTCATCGTTTAAACATTAACAGGATGTAGTGGGTTGAGGTAGCCTTGCACAACTGGATGTTTTCAGTCTTGGCTCTTATAAAACATATCGCTCGCTGAAGCTGTCTTGGCCATCTCTGACCTGTCTCTGTGAATTCTCCTTTTGTAGGTATTGATCACCTCTTGGCACAGCATATTGCACACCTGTTCATTCGAGACCCATTGACTTTGTTTGAGGAGAAAATACACCTAGATGATGCGAATGAATCTGACCATTTTGAGGTTATGTTTGCTTTAGAGCAATTTAATAAATACATACTTAAAGTGCTTATTCTTTATAGTGCTGCTCAATTAGAGGATGTCTATATTATCTAATATTGTTCTTTTCCTGTATTTTTTTCACTTACTCTAGTCAGTTCCTTTGAGTATGACTTCGCAGTTATAAGCAGCCTTATTTTTGTATATTTCTGTACTGTTTTGTCGTTTATTTAGGAGAAGATGGTGGCTTATGCTTTAAATTTAGTAAAATAGAGCCCGAAGTTTTGTGGACAATTGTTACGGAGAGCTGCCATCTTTTATGGCTTGCTAAAAGTCATTTTGCTTAATGTATTTATAAAATAGTACATCTCTTATGATACAGATTTGTGAAAGAATAACTATGATAAGTATTTATAGATTTGGATGCATCAACCCTTTATAAAAAGGTCAGTTAATCTCTGTCTCCTAGTAATCTTGTATGTAATTCTCAAGCCTTATGAGAAAAGATGATATATTTGTCATACCCTACGTGAGTAGCTAGGCTGTGGCTTTTAGGAAGTCCTGACACTTTATTTGGAATTATTTCTCTAATTTGGTGGACTGCTCTTGGGGAAACTATAAGAGTCTAGTGCTCTGTTTGATTTTCCTAGTTTGTGTTTTAGAATGATGCGTTATCTTGACTGTGACAGATTATTTCATGTGCTTTGCAGAATATTCAGTCCACAAACTGGCAGACAATGAGATTTAAACCACCTCCTCCAAATTCAGACATTGGTTGGCGAGTGGAATTCAGGCCTATGGAGGTAAGAAAGGAGTCAGTTTGCACAAGAGCACAGTTACATGTAAGTGGAAAAACACCAGGCATTCTCCCATGCAGTATCGAACCATTATTACTGATGCTGTGTTTTCTCCACTCCAAATTGCTTGATGCAAGTGGAGTGGAGAGCAGGGTTTAATCAAACATGGACTGTGGGAATGTAGCTGGCAGGGAGATCTAGTGTAGCATGGTAAAGCTTGAGAATGCACCCGAGGTGGTGGGGCAGGAAAGAGGCTCGTGCCAAAAGTGTTGTAAACAAAGCACGTTTAGTTCCTGGGAACCTTCCTCCTTCACTGCTTTTCTTGGTGCTGAACAATTCTGCTGGCACTGCTTTGTTTTTGCAGGAGTGTTTGTATTTTATAGCTGTCTGTTTCTGAGCTCTCTAAACTCAGTCTCTTTAAAATGGAAATTGAAGAGCTATTATGCATTGTAATTACACAGAGAACCTGGAGGTGCAGGTTATTAGGTAACCTTTTAAACTCAAGTGTGTTTTGGCTTTGGATTAAAGGGTTGTGTGTGTGCTGAAATGTGCATTTGAAGTCGATGTTAATGATTCCAGCACGCACATTACCATCTCTGCTAGTAGAGCACTTGTGAACACACAATTGCAAGTATCTACATGAACCTTTGAGTCAGACTGTTTTTAAACTCTTCCAGATAATTATTTTTGTTAGCATGTTCCAGCTGAAGTAATTTAATCCCACATCTTTCCATGTCTAGGTCCAGTTAACAGACTTTGAAAACTCTGCTTATGTTGTGTTTGTGGTACTGCTCACCAGAGTGATTCTGTCATATAAACTGGATTTCCTCATTCCTTTGTCCAAGGTAGGTGTGAAAGATCTCATTTTGGGAGCTAAAAGCAAAGCAGTTGAGAATCAAGTTTCATTTTTACCCTCCACATGCTAGGAATTAATATCTGTGCTCTTAACAGAATACTCATTTCTGTCTCTTAGTCAGTTTTCATCTCACTATTTCATCACCATTACTTTACCACCAATTCCAAATCAATGATATTAAACAAATGTTTTACTACTATTCAATAGAATTAAGTTTAGCTGAATGGTAAATTGTCGGTAATTATAAATGGTTAGCTATTTTTATTTGTCTTTCAGAGCTCCATTGAAAATAGCCAATAGACCCGTATTCAGGAATGATCTTTATAGAACTTGATAAAAATCTCATGAAGGCAAAAATGCCTCAGTTTGACTGTTCCTCCTGCAAGCAGTGGAATTGGGCTTCCAGTGATGGCAATGTAAATCTGCCTTCCTATTAGATGCTCCATTTTGTCCGTGTGTATCGAAAGTTACTCAGTGTAAATTACAAAATCAAGTTTTTCCCAGGAGGCCAAACTTCAGCCTTCCATGCACACTAGATTTCCCTCCAAGAGCCACATCTGATACAAAGTTATGCCTCCTCTTCCTTTTTCCACCTACTCCTATTAATATACTTAAATAGATTTGGCATTGTATTGAATTCACTCTCCCAAAGCAAGGGTTTTGTTACAACACGTATAATGTGTATTTGTGACATCCAGTAGAAAAGATCTGTCCTACAACAATAATCAGTGTTGTATTTTGACTGTGGTAAATAAAATAATAATAATAAAAACAGTAATTTACATGGTTTAGCACCAGTAACCAGGTGGTTTAACTCTCCTTGTAAGACAGCAAGATAAACTTAAATGCAGTGCAAGAATAAAAGTTAAGCTCCAGGCAGCTGTTCTTGTGCAGCTCGGTATAAGGGGAAGGAAATAAAAACACTTAAAAGCTGTGGAGAAATGGTACTATAGTTACTAAGTGAAGCAATTCTGTGGAGATTTTATTCATTCTCCTTTTTTACATACGCATTAAGCCATCATCATTGCTGCAATTCATTTCAAGTCTTAAAAGTTCTTTTGCTTTGTTTTTGTGTGCAGCAGCCATTCAATACTTCATTTTTCCTTGTTCAGTGTGAAAACTGACTGAAATCCTCTGAAGCCTTGATTGCTGATTTTTGGGGGGATTTCTTTGTGCTTAATGATGTCTGACTGCTTCAGAAATTATGATGAATCTCATTGTCATAAAACTCTTGAGACTGGCATATTTACAGCATGGGGAAACGAATGGGGAGAATAACCTATAGCAGTAAAGACAAAACCTTACATAGGCATTTATTTAACAGGGCTGTGGCTTGTGTTTCATGTTCTTATTTTCCATTTTGTCTTTATTTGGAGAAGAGGGAAAAGAGAGGTTCAGTGTGGTTGGTGTTCAGACTGGATTTGAGTGGAAGCACAGTTGTTGACCCTGGTCACAACTGTGGCTGTTTGGCATTTAAACAGACCAGCAGGGCAAATGATTTTTCGTTAATCTTGTCAGCGCGTTGCTGGATAAGATGTCTTTGAATGTCTTCCTGAGGCACCTGGCGGGGAATTTTAGTTAAATTGACAATCCCTGAGTGTACTGATAGTATCCTGATACTATTCTTACTGTTTTTGATTGAAATGGGGAAAAAAAAAACACTGAAGTATTATGTATTATATTTGTATATGTTCTTCCGTTTGAAATAATACCGAGCCTAAAGGGAGGAATTCTGTTCTTAATGCCAGAGAGTTCAGACCTCATAAAACGAGCATAACATGTAGCAACTTAGTATTAATGAGTATTCTACTTACACAGTGCACGTGGGATGTCTCACAAATAAAGTGCAACTTCTTAAAACTAAAGAATACTGGTTAGGACTGAAAAAGAGATAGAACCTGAATAGAGGAAAAAAAATCAAGTTGCTGGAGCCTGCAGAGCCATTTGGCATGCTATGTAGCACAGAGTTGCACAACCATCATCAGTAAACCTGCCTCTGCTGCTTAAAAGGATAAGGGTTTATAGGGCTAATCTCCCCATAATCTCTACTGTCTAATCAACTATGGTTGTACTCCAGCTAGAATGTGTTTAATCTTTCAAAACAACCTGTTGCATTGAACGTTTCATTCTGAATGAGAAGGGGCTTTTGAAAACAAAGCTTGGAAAGCTAAGAATAATAAGGAATTCTTTGCTTTGCACGTAAATGGCACACCAAAGGTTTCAGCAAATCTTAGCCTCTCTGCTTAAGACAAGGTAAATATGTCTTAAGACAAAGACGTGGCGAAGCTTGGCACCTGAAACCTAAACACTGTGCTAAATCTTCCATTCAGACACTTGGTAACACTGCTGTGTATTTTTTTGAAGATATTATAATTCAGAGCTTTTTTTCTTACTAGCAGTTTCATTTAATATCTAGCTACCTGATAGGTATTTGGATTTGGAATAGATAATGAGTCCAATACTGTGTTTACTGCAATATCATTTCTGAAGTTTTTTAATGTGGTGGTCACTCTTCTAAAGACTTCTATGATTTTGTCAATGAAAGCAACATGCTATGATTAGGGGAATGCTAGTGCTCTTGTTGTGTGCTCACTGAAATTGGATCTAGACAGCCCTAGAGCAGTTTGCCAGATGGGATGCAACCTGTCCTTCAGGGCTGCTGCTCCCGTTCAAAATTAAAAGATTAGCGTTGCCTGTTCTGACATAGCAGCCTATTAGTAACAGGGTTACCTTCTCTGCTGGTGACCTAATTTTTTGGAAAGTCATCACTGTAGTTCTGCACAAGACCCCTGAGGGGGGAAAAAATAGAAAAAAGAGAAAACAACCCAAATGTCTCCATAGCTTGGTCCTGTGTGGTGGAAGAGTGGGAAGCACAGTAGATATCCCCACTAATGAGACTAAAATGTGAGATGTTGAAGAAATGTCTGGTCAGCCCTAATGTGTGAAACCCTTCTTTTATTAGGTGGATGAAAACATGAAGGTGGCCCAGAAAAGAGATGCCGTCCGGCAGGGGATGTTTTACTTCAGGAAGGATATTTGTAAAGGTATCACACTGGGCAGCCTCACAGCACTGCTCTCACTGGCTTGGGCATCTCTTGCCTTCTAACAGCTTCTTTCTCACCCGCCAAGGTGGGAACGCCGTGGTGGACGGATGCGGCTCGGCGCAGAACGGCACGGACGCCGAGGAGTACGGCCTGATGAGCATCGACACCATCATCAACGGGAAGGTGCTGGCCTCTCCTGTCCGCGCGCGCCACTTTTCCCTCTGTCTTGGCCTCCCCAAAATGAGGTCAAGCCTCTCTTGTGCTGACTGTGTTTTCTTACACAGGAAGGATTCTTTCCTGGTTTGATCCCAGTTTTGAATTCTTACCTTGAAAACATGGAAGTGGATGTGGACACAAGATGCACCATCCTAAACTACCTGAAGTTAATAAAAAAGAGAGCATCTGGTATGTCTGACAACTTTGGATAGTGATCTTACTGTTGTTTTTCTGCTTTGGGATTCATTAGGATACTTTACTAGTTATAAATTGGGTAAAACTGATGGGAATTGCAGCTCTCTGGTTAAGTATTGAAACATTGGGAGCAAATGACTAGAACTTGTTTCCTGGCTTGAAATCTGGTCCTCTTTCTCATCTGAAATGTACGAGTGATCCATTTTAGAACTTGTTAGGAATAATTAATACAGTTAGTGGGTGACTCTTCAATCCAAGCACCACTTAATTTGGCTTTTGCCAGTGTGTTGTAAATAAACTAGTCCCTTCTTCCTCTAACCTGAGTGCTCTAAGGGTATGTGAGGGTGGCTCTGATAGCCACTTATTACTGGTGCGACTGCAAAGCCTCCATTCGTAAGATTATACTGCTGCACTAGAGCATGAGGCCGTGTCCTTAGGTCCCTGATAAGGAAGACTTTCTGTATGGAGCAAAACTCCTTAAAGCCAAGGCAAACCAAATTTTTCCCTGCCTCTCCCATGTTGGAGTGTGTTTGAAGACAGACAATGTAATAGTTTTCGATGCTGTTTCTTAAAACGCAGCAATATAAGGAAGAAAGGAGGCAGGCAAAACACTTTCAGAATTGGGCACAAAAGTTAGTGAGAGTTTTATATCCTCCTATGTGCAAATCTCCCGTGTGTCTGCCTTGCTGTAAATTTACTTTGAAAAATCAAGACAAATGCTTTTTTAAATGAAATATATTCATAGGTTTTAAGTTAGAAGAGTTGCATTCCTTTTTAATTCTTGAAAATTAAGTGTAGAAGCTTCTAGCTGTAAAGGCATTTAAAGCTGAGGTGAAAACCAGGCCTTTCCCACTGCTGCTGGTTTTCCTGTTTCAGCAGTGCTTCAGCATGGTAGCAGGTGCCCTGGTGGCTGCTGTCACTGAAGAGGCTGCTTGCACCTTCCTGAGCTCGTAGGAGGCTTCAGGTTTCAGCCTCTCGGGCAACACAGACTGGAGATTGGATGTTCTGCTTAGCTGAATGAGCGATGAGAAACAGGCAGGAAGAAAACTTCCCAAAGCACCTTAGCCGCTGCTAACACTGCAGTGTGGGTTTGGACCTTCTGAAGAATGCTGCTCGAAAGGAGTGCATAGCTTCAGTTTGGTGGGGTTTTTTCTTGCACCTTCAAGAGCCAGTTACCTGGGGCTCAGCACAACATGGGCACCGGTCTGATTCCGAAGAACTTCTTTGCTTCACAGTGCAAACAGGAATGTTCAAGTTGCAGTGAGTTGGCTGCAACAGAAATAGCAGAAATCAGCTCTTGTATTTGCAGAGACCTAAGCATACGGGTGGGGTGGGTGGAATCTAGGGCTCGCATCTCTTTGGCTGTGCTGAACTGAAATGACTTAATATGGGAACTCACGGAAGAAGCAGCCCTGGCCACAGCGTCGCTGTGCCGTGGTATTTCTCAGTTGCGCCCTCTGGATTTCTCTGTCGTGCTGTCAGTGCAAATGCAACGTGCCTGAAAGGCAGCCCAGCCAGCACAGGGCAGGTGGTGCCTGCACGGGAGGGTCTTGGTTGAGATCCCCCTCCTCAGAGGGGGGGCAGAGGGCACGGGTGCGCGTGGAACCCACGGCGCCTGGAGCTGCTCGTGGCTTTCATGGGGTTCGTCCAAGCCTTCTTGAAGCAATTATCCTCAGAATGGGCCACGATTTTATTATGTGCTCTGTGGAAGAAAACGTGCTTTTTTGCTTGTTTAAACATTCATTTAATGATACGCCTTCGAGTTCTTGTACTATAAAATGATACTTCTCTGCTTTCGTGATTTTGTAAACTGCTTTGCTCCGTTGTCTCCCAGTCTTGAGACTTCATTCGCACTTTCCTTACTGCGAAGTTGTCTAATACCTATTACCAATTTATAGTTTTTCCTGGTTTTCCTCTGCAAGCTGCATGCTGTGTCTTTACCTATCCCTTGTAGACCCTCAGCTTCCCTTTCCTGCAGGCTCTTAAGGCATCCCGGCAGTCTGTGTTGATGCCTTATTACCAGCGTTAGCCTTGTTTGTACTGGTCGAAGTTTGTTTACTGTGCAACTTTTAGGAAAAAAGGTTCAGTTGCCTTAAACACTGGTGTCCAGCTGGTCTCCAGTTGCTGCTTCACAAGGATGCAGGTCATGTGTGTCCCTTGCCAGCCCCGCACAGGTGTCTCGGTGACTCCCCTTAGGTCAGGCTACATCCTGCCTGGGTGAGTAGGTGCCCTGTGTGTGCAAGGAGGGAGCGTGTTCAGAAACCTGTCTGGCCTCTGCAGGGAAGCTGCCAGCAGAGGAAAGTAGCAGAATAACCAGGGTAGACAGACCCAGGAGCTGAGCTGTGTGGATCAGCCACAAAATCATTTAAGATGTATGTAATTATTGTAGAGGTGTCCTAAGTGCTGCTTGGCTTGTCCCAGACAGCATCTCTGTTAGATGCTTAAGACCTTGTGCTATAATGTGTAAGTAGTAATTACTCTTGCTAGTAATTAGGTGTCATACTTCTGTGTGCACTGTCTTGTAACACCTGAAGATTGTTCCAGGCAAGTAGGTGTGGGGCTATCTGTGATATGTCTGTTAAATTATGCGTTAAGCTTGCCCACAGTTAAAAAAACATGCATCTATCTTGTGAAAACAAAGAGTATTTATTAAATGTGTATGCAATATGCAGAATGTTGTGCTGTAAATTAGATGTACAGTCTGTCTAAAGTCTGCCTTGCAACTGCCCACAGGCGAGTTGATGACGGTTGCCCGATGGATGAGGGAGTTTATCGCGCAGCATCCAGACTACAAGCAAGACAGCGTCATAACCGATGAGATGAATTACAGCCTTATCTGGAAATGCAACCAAATTGCACAGGGCCAGGCGGAGTGTCCTGAGCTCCTGGGAGTGGGGTTTAACAAGAAGCCGAGTGGAAACAAGACTGGCTCTTTGTAATGAGCGTGTCTTAATGCAGGAGAAAATTTTAAGCGTTTTAGCGAAGCGCTAGCAATGGTACTGTGAATCTGGTACAGCTTCATGGTGGGAAGACCAAAACAGGTGATACTGCACTATAAAATGGGCCAATCTGCCTGAATTTTCATTTAAGGCATCCTAATGTGGGCATATTCTTTATTGTTAAGGTTTATACAATGTACATGTAAATAGTAAAATATTTTTATGATTAACATCAATGTATTTTAATAACACTGTATCTAAAGTTATTGTGAATTAGCTTGTAACTTTTATATGCTTATTCTAGAAAGAAAAGAAATCGTCCTGAACAGCTTTGTAAATGTAATGGTACTTGTATATTATATGCATTCCAGTTACTGAATGTTTACTGTAATTTTTCTAACATGGAATGTGCTAAGTAATCTACCTTATTGTGTATTTAAAAAAAAAAAAAAAGGGCAAACTAAACTGCCTTGTGGACCTGTCCCATTCATAGAGGCTTCTCCCTTCCATTCTGGCTTTGAAAGTATCTAAGACTCTATAAACGCATGTGCAGTCTCTGTGTTGATGTTTGCAGCAGTGTCCAGCTGCCGCAGGCCCTGCACCCTTTCAGCAGCTGTGAGAAGCTGCTCTGTCCGTGTTCAGGTAGCGTGAGGGCATCTGCCTCCTGATAAATGTAGTCTTAGGAAAGAGTTGCTTTATTCTTTATGTAACCTGCAGTTCCTGCATAAAAAAATAATAAGACTTAACATAAAAGTATGGTCTCCCAGACGGATGCTTGCTCTTTACCCCCTGTCAAGTAAAAATGCAGTCGGAGTTTGAAAAAATGCACAAGTCATGTCTGATCTTTTTAAAAAGAATCAGACAAGGGGGGAAGGAGGAGGGAATGTGAGCTGAGACAAGGATCTCTCCAAGGGAACAGGAGTGATCCGCTCTGCTCTGTGGTGCTCTGGAACTGCTGTTTTGTCCCTGTTGTTGCTGATGAGTCAAAAATGAGAGCAGCACAAAACCAAGGACCCATGGATGCTTTCTGGAGGTTGAATTTCTCCTTCGTCCTTTGTTATTTTAAGTATTTTTGTCAGCAGGGTTGTTTCCTCTAAGGTGCTTGATGTAGAGAGGTGTAGGTAGGGGCAACTTAAGCCCCTCTGAAAAACTGATCATGGAGTGCACTAATCCTTTAGACTGGGAGTCAGTGCTGCGAGTGATTGTAAAGTATTTAAAAGGTAGCCATTGCAACTGTAAATAAAGCAAATTTATGGGGCCTTTTTAATTTAGCTTCTTAAATGACTTCAAAAATGAATTGTTATGGGTAGATTATGCAAAGCTTTGTGCAAGCCAAGTATCATATTCATAAGTATCTTAAGATGTAATAATTTTTAAAAAGAACTAATGGAGAAACTGCAGTGGAGGTGCATTCAGAGGAAGCTTTTCTGTACTGACATTAGGCTTTGTGCTGTGTTCCCAGGTGTGCGTTAGAGAATAAAAGAATGCTTTCTTCTGCTGTGCTGTGTTTTAATCAAGGTGTAAATGGCACTCATATGCTGATTTAGTTCCTGGAATAAGGAAATTAAAAATAAAATTCGCAGTATGTGTTTGTCAGTATGTGTGCAGTGTGTGTGAGTCCAGTGCCCATTCTCAGCAGTAAGAGGGGAGGGTTGCATCTGTGGCCAGTCCAGCTCACGTTACCCACGCTCACATGTTGTTTCACAGAAGGTTCGAGGTTGGAAGGGACCTCTGAAGATCATCTAGTCCAACCCCCCTGCTCCAGCAGGGACCCCTAGAGCATGTGGCACAGGGTGGCATCCAGGCAGGTTTTGAAGATCTCCAGAGAAGGAGACTCCACAACCGCTCTGGGCAGCCTGTTCCAGGGCTCTGTCACCCTCACAGGAAAGAAGTTCTTCCTCACATGGAGATGGAACTTCTGTATTTCAATTTGTAGTGGTAGTTCTTAGTAAAACTCCTGGGAAGGACTAATAGTAAATGCTCTACCAGGCTGCAGCGGAGAAGTCCTCGTTCCTGCAGTGTGAGCAGCTCTCTGCCACCAGGTAAGGATTAGAAGATGCCTTAGAGACCAGATTTCTGCTAGTGCTGAATCACTTTAGATTCTTTTTTCTCCTTAAACTGATATTAAATCACAATTCCAGGCTGGTAGGTGGCCTCTGTCCTATCCTGTGGGAGAGCAGTTTTTATTTTAAAGCTTAATATGTGGTATAAGTTTCCTTTACATGTTCTTGTATAGGCATTTCAAGAAAGGATGGGAAGGATCAAGTGCAAACCAGCTCCTTGATGACTAATTAGGGTGTTCGTTGCTGGGGCAGAGCTGAAGTATGTGCCCCAGCCTGGTTTAAATGGTGTGATAGAATCATACACAGGCCAAAGCAGAGTTGCTTTAGGCGAAGGGCAAGTTCTTGCCACCCCAGTGGAGTGGTTATGAGCTTGAACGTACCTTTGAGGTGACTAAACAGGGTAATCTGTGCACCCATGAAACAACACAGTATCTGTGCACCCCAGACGTGCTGCCCAGGCAGGGAACCTTAGCCGGAAGCATAGAAAACTCCCTTGGGCTGTGAGTTCAGGATTCTTGTTCTTGCAGTCATCAGGTGCTTTCATGGAAATAACGACTTTTCACAAAGCCACGTGAGCAAAGGGAAGGAAAGAACCACCCAGCACCTGAGCTCAAAAGTGATTGATTCCTTGCCCAGCGCACCCCATAATGCATTAATCACTTCCCCAGCCATCCTCCTGTCCTTGCCCTGATGGCAGTGATTGATCCTCTCCTCGTGCTCCATTTTCAGGCTAAGAGAACCTATGGTTCTTGTTTCCTGAGCCCTCAACGCTCTAGACAGTAACATTCCCCGTTTTTCCTTAATAGGCAAAATACCTCAATGTAAGTGCCTTTTTTCTTCTAAATTGTTTTTGCTATGCTTTTGTTGTGTATTAAGCCTTAAAATGTGGTTCCTTTTGTATGTGCGTGCATCTCTACCAGCGCTTTGCTGTTGCAGGAGTGGTGCACCACACATGGTAGTTGCCCTTGCTATAGAGTGTACTGGAAGAGTGCAAGCGACTGCAGGGAGGAGCAGTGCTGTTGCATACAAGAGAACAGAAACAAAAATGCTGAATTAAACTATTGTAGCAGAAACCAGAGATCTCTGCTTTGAAAGGATTTCCTGCAATTTTCTTGTAGCAGAAAGATGTATGAAAAAAAAATGTAAGAAAACCCTACATTTGGAAGTGGTTAACGTTGCAATGAGCTTATTTGTCCCCACTGATGGAGGGTGGGAGTAGTGCAGCTGCTGCCATAGTGCATGTGGCAAAAACAGGCACAGCTTTGTGATACTCATTGTGAGGACTAAAACAGAAGCACCTCCCCCGCATTGCCAATTTTGCTGCAATGCCTTTGGTGTTCCCCTGAATCAGAGGCCACCAAAGTGCATGCTGTGTAGGGTGTTTTATAGGAATGGGACTGAGTTGAAGTGACACAAGGGCTGATCCACAATCTCTCCTGCTTATAACTCTGAACTACTGAGACTGAAAGGATTTAAGGGGCCTGATTCAAACGCTGGCCAAAAAAAAAATAAAAAAAAAAAAGGATGCAAAGGGATTAATAAACTATGTTTGATTTCTTCTTCTCTGTAGCTGCCCCTCAGCTGAGGGGACGTGGTGCTTAGCCTTTTTTTATGTAAGACATCATCTAATCAAAATAATGCATTAACACAAAGGAATGGAAACATCCCCGTGCCCAGGAATAGCAAAGTGAGTCCTGAATTGTATGAAAAATACAAGGAAGGAGCAAGGGCTGTGAAGCAAAGAGTAGTAGATGCCACTCATTAAAAGTCAAAGACGTCAAGTCCCCAAGTCAGGCAGAATCCCTGCACACTCTCCTGAGAACAGGACGCTGCCCAGAGCGGGAGGTTGGCGTGGGCAGGGAAGGACCCAGGCAGGGGCTGCTGTGGAGCCGCCGTGGGGGTGGACCGGCTCGGGGAAGGCTGAGCTGCGGCCCCGACTACCTCGGGGCTGGACAGGGCTACGGCTCACACGGCGCCAGGGGGCTTATTTGGGGCAGCAACTCCGACATGACAATGTGACCTCTTAGGGGGTTCTCTGATTCTTAATGCAACCTTTTCTCCCCCTTCCAGGCGGTAGTCCAGGTATGTAGTTGGAAGTGCAACAGCAATTCCAAGTCCTCCTTACTTTATAGCTACCGCATTGCAAGGCTCAGCCTTCCCTGGGAAGAGGCATTCCACATCTCTGTGTGGCTGCAGAATATTGTGGCAAATGACAAGAATCCCTTTAATTTCTTTTAAAACTCATGTAAGACTATTGCCAGTTTAGGGACCCACCTCATCGCTTTATTCTGAAATAATTTTAAATGTTAGTATTTTAGTTCAAAGTGAGTTTGTACTGGGTAGTATAACAAATGTCAAATGCTTGTGATTGCCATGGTGTTACTTCTATTGACCCCATGGGCTCCTAGCAAGGTTTTCCAGCCTTCCAAGGAGCCTCCCTCCCTCCCTTCCTCCCTTCCTTTCTTCTCTGGTGGGTCCATCCCCTGCAGCGAGGCTCAGGGTGGCCTGGAGGTGGCAGCAGCCCCTCACAGTCGCTCAGAGCTCGGTGCGAGCCCGTGCAGAGCCCAGCCCACCCGCTCTCCTTCCGGGTGTGCTGTGGCTTATTGGGGATTGCGACACCCGTATTAGATAAATGCTGAAAAATCCAACGGCGCCAGCTGTGAAGTGGGTCCAGCGAGGAGAGGGGCGGCAGGTGCCACTGCTTCATTTCTGCTGTGATGCTGCCAGGGCCAGTAAGCAGCGCAGAGATGCGGCCCTCCAGGCCTCGAACCACGCTGTCCTGTGAGGGCTCACTGCCACTTTGTGCAAGCGCAGCCCGTCTTCTGAGAAGGCACTTGAACAGCTGAAGCTCGGATCTAAATTGCCTCCAGGATATAAGATAGATACGTATACATACACATATATATATATGTATATATAAAATAACTATTTACTGGAGCTTTTTAAAATTCTCCTGGGAAAACAAAGTCAGGAAGGAACCTGTGAGCCTCTGTGTATTTTCAGAAGATGGGCATCATTAAGAATATCCTAAAGATAT